GTGTACATGCAACCCTAATAACCTTGGATCTATGTTTGTCTAATTATCATGCAAAGTTGAATTCCAAGATTATATTCCTATCTAGCATACATGGGGAACAATTTTAACTTAAAGTATAGATAGAATAACTTACCTTGTTGTTGTTTGTGTTCCTTGAAACCTTGTGAGCCTAGCACCCCAAGTGTGATGCCTCAAATGCTTCACACAACACCAAATGCTCTTGGAAGAGCTTATGAGAGAACACACACTTCTCAAAAATCGGCCAAGCCCTCTTGTTTCTTAGTGTAGCCGATTTTGGTGGAGAACATGTTACTTATATAGTGTTGACACATCTAGGGTTAAACCCTAATGTGTCATGACTCTTCATTTCCATGACCCATGGGTTTGTAACTCCCATGGAGCATCCATGGAGCATCCTATGGGTGGAACCCAACTTGATAATCCATGGAGCCTCTTAGCCCACTATACAAGATATGGATGATTTACATAATCAACCCATATATTTAATTAGTTATCTTTTGATCACTAATTAATTCTAAATTAATTCTTGATCAAACTAATCAAATAATATTATTAATATATTAGAACTTATAATATATTAATAATCTCCAAGTGTTATTTCTCTCATTTAGTCTATCCAATTGCATGGTGCCATGCAACCCAAATGGACCATGCCGGGTCGGGTCAAGTACATACCAGAAATAGTTATGGACTTAGACACCTTATCCAACAGTCTCCCACTTGGATAAGTCTAATAACTATTACTGCAAGTATGACTTCAGGAACCGATCGGCAATCGTAGCTCTTTACAAGGTTTCTCGGAACTGAGAAGATGATGGTACGCCATTTAAGATAAGTGATCATATAATCCTCTGTTCTAGATATCAGTCGGACAAATACATGGAACAATGTCTTACTTATTGTCCAACAGTTTGTTTCCCGATTTCCGATTTGTTTGACAAAGAACTTAATTGAACACATCAACTTAGTTCTGACCGGGCCCGGTACATAGGTCAAAACAAAATCATCGAGGGGCCCAGATATCAGCTTCTAATCCAAGAAGGAACAGATAAACTTCGACTCATATGTTTGTTCTACCACTCATTGAATTACACACAAGAGCGCGATTTTATAACATCGAGTTACCAATGCGTTTTTCGTACAATCAATGCATAACCAACTTGTAAGTAACAAATCATATCTCTAGGTTTGAAGACTTATATGATATTACCGTCTCACGATCACTCGAGATAGAATTCCATGAAGTGATTCCAGTGAGCGTGGGTTGAGTCCAATGCTCAGAACTTATGAGCACTCATGATTGTGTAGCCTTGTCCAAGACCTCTACAACCAAACATGACAGTCTTGATTCATACCTACTTCCGACATATGACCGACTGTGGAGGTTTGAATAATATGTTATACCAAACAAAATTATTCTGGAAGTCAAAACATGCAAAAGAAATATAGTAAACGATCGACAAGAGATAGCAACACTTTACTCATAAATAAAACACTTTTATTCATCATCAATGTCAATTACACTTTACAAATTTCGAGGTTATCTAACTACTAAATCTAATATCATCCTTCAGCCCTATGCTCCGAGCATGCTGGAGATGCTTAACCCGAGTCAGTCCCTTCGTGAGGGGATCTGCCGGATTCTCATCTGATGATACCCTCTTTGCCACGAGGAGTCCTTCTTCGATCCGATGTCTGATGAAATGGTATTTTCTGTCGATGTGTCTGGATCTCCCGTGATCCCTTGGTTCCTTGGCTAAGGCAACAACACTTTCACTATCACAGAAAATTTCCATTGGCTCTTTAATAGCTGGTACAACTCCAAGGTCTCCAATGAAGTTCCTCAGCCATAACGCCTCCTTTGCCGCCTCGCTAGCTGCAATATACTCTGATTCACAAGTAGAATCTGCCACTGTCTCTTGCTTGGAACTCTTCCAAGAAATTGCTCCTCCATTTAGGGTAAAGACCCAGCCCGACTGAGAGCGGAAATTATCCCTATCAGTCTGGAAGCTAGCATCACTATACCCTACAACTCTCAAGTCATCACTCCCACCGAGGGTAAGGACCCAGTCCTTAGTCCTTCGTAGGTACTTGAGAATATTCTTTACCGCAGTCCAGTGTGCCTTGCCAGGGTTCCCCTGAAACCTGCTAACCATGCTCAGGGCAAAAGCTACATCAGGTCGAGTACACGTCATAGCATACATGATCGATCCTACAGCCGAAGCATAAGGTACTCGACTCATTTGTGCTATCTCAGCCTCAGTGCTAGGGCTTTGTGTCTTACTCAGTTTGGCGTTACTCTGGATGGGCAACTCTCCTTTCTTGGAGTCTTGCATTCTGAATCTCTTCAGCACCTTATCCAAGTAGGTACTTTGACTAAGTCCAATTAGTCTTTTACTCCGATCTCTCAAGATCCTTATCCCAAAATATAGGCAGCTTCACCAAGGTCCTTCATAGCGAAACACTTTCCAAGCCAGGACTTTACTTCCTGCAGGGTTGGAATGTCGTTTCCTATGAGTAGTATGTCATCCACATACAATACCAAAAGCTAACTATACTCCCACTAGCCTTGACATACACACAAGATTCATCTTCACTCCTAGAAAAGCCAAATTCCTTGACCTTTTCATCAAAGCAAAGATTCCATCTGCGAGGTGCTTGCTTTAATCCATAAATGGATTTCTCAAGCTTACACACTCTATTAGGGTACTCGTTGCTGACAAAACCCTCTGGCTGACTCATGTAAACATCTTCAGCCAACTTTCCATTAAGGAAAGCGGTTTTGACATCCATTTGCCAAATTTCATAGTCATGAAATGCGGCTATGGCTAACAGAACCCGAATAGACTTAATCTTGGCTACCGGAGAAAAGGTCTCATCATAATCCACTCCAGGAATTTGAGAGAAGCCCTTTGCAACCAGTCTAGCCTTATAAGTGTGTACTTTACCATCCATGTCGGTCTTCTTCTTGAAGACCCATTTGCACCCTACAGTCTTTCGACCTGGTACATTCTCAACCAAGTTCCAAACTTGATTGTCATACATGGATTGTATCTCGCTATCCATAGCCTCTTTCCATTTAGCAGACTCGGGGCCTGCCATGGCTTCCTCGTAGCTGTTAGGGTCATCTTGACTTACTAGTGTCCATCACTAATAAGTGTCTCACCTTCTGCAGTAATATGGAATCCATAGTAATGCTCAGGTGCACTCCTAACTCTCGTGGAACGCCTCAGAGGTACAGATTCGTCAATTGGCTCAACAGGAGTTTCCTCCTCAAGTTGAGGGCTAGAGTTTGAAGTTCCTTCACCACTTGACTCTTGAATTTCTTCAAGATCAATTTTCCTCTCACTGTCTCCTTGGCTTATAAACTCTCTTTCTCGAAAGACTCCTCTTCTTGCTACAAAGACCACATTGTCACTAGGTCTGTAGAAGAGGTAACCAAAGGATTGTTGTGGGTAGCCGATGAAAATACACCTCTCGCTTCGGGGTTCGAGCTTATCATGAGTCTCGCGTCTCACAAAATCCTCGCAACCCCAAATCTTGATGTGGTCTAGTTTAGGTACTTTACCAGTCCACATCTCGTGAGGAGTTTTGGCAACTTTCTTTGTAGGGACTAGATTAAGGATATGGGCGGCAGTCTCTAAGGCATACCCCCAGAATGAGATTGGTAGCGAAGCTCGACTCATCATGGAACGAACCATGTCCAACAAGGTTCGATTACGCCTCTCAGCCACACCATTCAACTGTATTAGAACTTATAATATATTAATAATCTCCAAGTGTTATTTCTCTCATTTAGTCTATCCAATTGCACGGTGCCATGCAACCCAAATGGACCATGCCGGGTCGGGTCAAGTACATACCAGAAATAGTTATGGACTGAGACACCTTATCCAACAATTACTTCTAAACCCCTTATGAAGATTCAGAGTACTAATCCCAAAGTTCAAGCTGATGTTACTCAATATCTAGAAGGTTTGCAAATGCTCAAAGTTGCTCTGAAACATTCAGTTCTATCAACAACCATGTTTTCTTCTTTTGGTGTACCAATCTCGTGGTTATCTCTTACTGGTTCGACTACGGTGTACAACAAGATGATAGAAGTGATTACATTTTTAGATGATCCACGATAAGAAGTTCAAACTCCACCAAGAAGTTGTTTGCTCAGATCTTGGAACTTCCTACTGCTGATTCTTATTATGCGGTATCGAATGAACAAGTTCTTCATATGCTCAACGAGATGGGTTATCAACCGGTTCTTACCAAGATAAATGATTTCAAGAAATCATGTTTACCATGTTTATGGAATTTTTTTGTTTGGAATTTATCTTTGATGCTTGACTGGTCAAAGTGCCGGATTAGATAAGGCGACGTTGGAAATTTATGCCTTGGTGGCAGGCATCTATTATGATCTTCCTATTGATTATACAACTCAGTTATGGGAAGAGTTTGTCAAAAGTATTAGCAACATGAATGTGGTGGATGGGATCTCCTGTGCTTGATATTAGAGTTTGATCATACGGTATGCATATGAGAAGGAAGGTATTCAAGTTCCTAAGGATGAAGAAAAAGTTTCATTTTCTTTGTATCACTTTCTAAAGACAGTGGAAGATGATCTGGATATGTTTCCAACCATTGCTCATATTCCAGATGGCATACTTAAAAAAATTGATTCTTCTGATCCAGTGTTAGTGGCCTATTTGAAAACAATCGATCCTTTGATTGTAACAGGTGTTCTGTTGCCGAAAAACACTAGTGGCCCATCGAAGAAGCGTAAGGAATCTAAGAAGGTGATTACAGGTAGTCCTTCGAAATTCAATCCTGAGAAAGTGGAGGTGGTTGTTAAAGCTACTCCAAAGAAGGTTGTTAAGACAGATCCACCTTCAACGAAGGTCATTAATCCTATTGTTGAAGAATCTTCTACACCTGTCATAGAATTTGTACCTATGAAATTTGGTGTATTGAAAAGGTGAAAGATAATGGCTCACAAGCCTCATCATTCACCAGAGCAATCTGGAAAATTTTCACCAAAGGGAATATCGAAGATTACTCGCAAGCCTCAACTAAATCGACAAGGAGTTGTTATTTGTGAGATTCCAACCCCTGTGTCTCCTACTTCTAAGAAGCGTATTGCTAAGGATTTGGTGAAAAAGATTGCTAAGAATAAGAGAAGGAAGGTTATTGAAGATTCTTTGGGCGAAGTGGTTCCTAAATTGTCACTTCATGATACATATATGGGTGTTCCTTCACCAATGAGGGATTCTCCAATCAAGTCGAATTTCGAGGAGATTGGAAATCCTGGTGGCTCTGTGAAAGCATCTGACATTGACACAACCACTACTCAAGGTGAACAAGCGAAATAATCCACTCCAAAGCAGACAGTCATCATACCACCTAGAGTTTTGAATGCCGAATCAGTTTCTGAGGAGGTTCAAACTTTAGGCATCCCTGTGAATATATCTAATATGGACACAAATGTCAGCAAGGGTGATGGAGTGTTGAATAACGAATCCTAAGGTAATCCTCCTTTCATTACATCATCTACTTTCGAAAGATCTAACGTTGGTACCTCTACATCTCTACCACCATTTCACTCAACCATTTCGACTTCTACCCACTCACCTACTTTTGAAAACATACTCAATCAACCTATCACTTCTTTATTTTCATCCCAATCCACTGAACCCAAAACTGTTCAAGAGGAAGACACCACTAAAGACAATGATTTTATCAGAATGTTTGCTGATATTACATTTGATCCTGAAGAAGAAAATATTCCCAATCATATGTTGATGTCTAGGAAAAAGTTTAAAATTCTCAATCGAAAGCTTAACTCTTTGTTATAGCTTCAAGCAGATGCAGGGGTAAGCATTTTGTGTCTAGTATCAAACTTTATGTCATGCTAAAAGCTCAAGAACTTAGGTTAAGGAATGAGTTTGAGCAGTTGGATCGGCATAATGAGAATCGTGTTAAAGCTCAATCTTCATCCTTTAATGATGCACTCAAAGAATTGAAGTCCGTTGCTCGTGAAAGGTATGTTTTGTTTGTGAAATATGTGAAAATAGTTTGTGAAAATGTACATTTGAATATTGAAGAATTGAGAGAGGAGATGGCAAAGGAGATTGCAACATTAGATCACAATTATTCTTCTCTTCACAAGAAGGTTGATATAATTGCTCATACAGTAACAAAATTTGTTGAATGGTATAATTCTTTGCTTCTGAAGGTTGACAAGATGTGAAGGGCCCAATTAGTGGTTTGGTCTAGTCTTTGCATTGTAATAGTGGTTTTGTGTTGATAGAGGATTTTGGTAGGCTTACTGAATGTTTACGGGTCTGCAATGAGTTTACGGCCGTAACACCTTACGACCGTAAAGTATTTTCGGAGTCCACTTGGCTAACCGCAACAGCGAGCCGCAACAGGCGATCAGCAGCAAGCGAGCCGCAGCAGCGAGCCGCAGCCAGCGATCCGCAACCTCCTCTTCTCCTGACCTCGGAACGCAGCTCCTTCCTTCTCTTTAGATCTGCATCAGAAACCAGTGCCTCTCCGGTTCTTGGCTGCTGAGGCCGAGACCTCGCCCAGAACTTCGAATTTTGACACATTGCACCCCAGTTTTCGACCCCAACTCCGTTTTAAGCCCATTTTTCATCATTTTAACGCGGGATTTTCTCCAAAAATCATATTTTAACATATAAGACCTAAATATTCATAATTTAAACATATTTTTTATGGAAATCTTTATTTAAGAATAAAAATCTAGTGGGTGAATAATTGAGGTGGAGTGTTGACTTCTCTTTAGTTTATGACACAAGCAACCACCCCCATACCCACTCCATGACCAACCATTTTCCTCCCCACCATACCTGGTCATTCAAGGGTACTTTCCCTACCATTTGACCAGCCATACTCTTAGTCAAGGGCTGAAAACCCACCCTCTCTCCTCATTCTCACTCATTTCTTTCATTCCCACCAAAGATCAAACACATATTTTCTCTCAAATTCTCTCATACAAATTCGAGATTTCCAAGTCATTTTTCAAGCTTTACATCTTCATTTGGTAAGTATCATCACTCTCCTTATGGTTATTACATTCCCTTTCACTCAAATCAATGATTCCTTACACAAACTCCATCATTTGTGTGTTAGATTCTCAAATCTTCAAGTGTTCTTGAGTTGAACACTTCACTTCTTCAGCATTCACCCACTGAAATTATATAAGGTGAGTTCATATCCCTTTATTTTCATGTTTTCTTAAGTTTTAAGGGGGGGATACAAGTTAAAACACCAAGAACCTAACTAAACTTTGCTAACAGCTTTCATCAGAAAAGTGGGACTCCATTCACGAACTGTTTTGGACAACTTAACCAATTTAGTTTTCAAAATTGTATTAGGTGCAGATAGTTAAAGTTCTTAGCTTTAAAATTATTACTTGCACATCTCCATACGGTTTTTCTACAATTTATGGGGATTTTTACAAAACTGCCTATCATTTCAAACATCAATCCGGACCAGTCTGTGATTATGGACGTTTTCACACAAGTTTGAGATCATTAAAATTCATAATAAAATTTATTAACAAACTAGAATCATTTCCCAAACTCTCAAAATTTACGGATTCTGATTTGGACCTTTGATCATTTTTCTATAAATTTTCTAAGAACAGTGAAAGAAAATGTTAACAGCAGAAAAATGCTATCAATTTTATTTCACCTTGTAACATGTTGAGCAAGGTGTATATCATTATGTGAATATATGTTTTTGCAAATAGATGACATTTTGTCTTAGTATATAGTCACACATCAGAAAACAAATGCATTTTTACCTACAAAAGTATTGGACTTAATTAGTTGTTATATTGCATGTTGCTTTACTTTAGCAAAAGAGTATACACATATCGGTAACAAAAGGGCTTTTACCTTCATAAATACAGTAGTTAACCATAATAATCAAAGCTATAACTGTTACATTTAAACTTTTTGATAACCCATAATAGGTATGGTTTATGTTTCTATTAACACAACAAACACATTTCGGAAGGTTTTATTCCCACAGAAAAAGGTTTTACACTCACGCACACTACACGTAAACTTGTTAACTCAAATTGTGAGATATTCATCTCAGTACTCCTAGAGTACGATTTAAAATTCCTGGTAGTTATAACCAGAGTCTCTTGTAGGGAGAACGTGATAGTTTTGTATAGATCTATATTGGGTTTGACACCCTACACCTTACTGCTAGCTACAGTAGGACCTGCAGGTCCACGGGTGACAAATGTCATAACAGTTTTTGACGCCTGAGAAACGTCTTGGCAGGTTCATTCAGTCATAGTATGATTATAGCGGCTCACATAGGGAGTTAACAACACATAAAGTTTACGGGGATTTTCATAAATCAAAAAGGGGTTTTATGTCGATTTAAAATCACTTTTTATATCAATAATTACAGATATTATTGTATACTTCCAGCCTTGGTATTTAAGACTACACACCATTTATTACGGGATTTTTCTCAAATCAGAAAGGGGTTTTATGCCAATTTAAAATCACTTTTATATCTTTAAGTATGACAATTACTTGTTCATTCTCGGTCCCGACATTTAGGACCACATAACTTTTATAAGGAAAATATTGGATTTTTTTTGGTAACACACCACACATTACAAAGAACGGTTTCCAAACTCTTTATCTAAAAAGCTTATGAACTCACCAACTTAATTGTTGATACTTTTTTAAAATTACTTGTATTCTTAGGAAATCAATGAAACCAAGTAACCACAAGCTTTTGAGGATGGAACGCTACGACGTTGAACAACTATTTTTATATCATGTTGTGATCAAT